ACAAAGAAGCAGCCAAAATGGTAAGACAAAGAAACAGATCCCAAATGAAAGAACAGAGAATTCTCTAGAAGAACTAGATGAAATGGAGGCAAGCAATTTATCAGATAGAGAGTTTAAAGTAATGATTATCAGGATACTTGACAGCATGAAAAAAGATATAGAAACCATAAAAAAGGACCAGTCAGAAACAAAGAATTCGATATCTGTAATAAATAATGCACTGAAAGGAATAAACAGTAGGTTAGATGAAGCTGAGGATGGAATCAATGATTTGGAAGACAAGGTAGAAAAAAAAAACCTAGGCAGAGCAGCAAAAAGGAAAAAGAATTTTTTTAAAAATGAGGAGAGCTTAAGCAATCTGTTTCAGCATGGCCTCCAGGTGATTTTGTTGAAGGATCAAGTTTGAGTACCACTAGTTGAGATATTAACATGGACATTTCCTAATAGAATCAATGGTGGCAGTTTCAGCAATATGGCAGCGAAGCAAAGGCTCCAGCCTGTTGAGGCACACTGCCAGCTGCCTTGGAATACAAGGCCACTCATCAAGGAAGGAAGTCACCTGTGCCTCTGCACAGAGAAGCACCACTTCCCTCCCCCCAGCCTCACTAGTGCCTCTTCCTGATGCACTAGTCTTAAGATGAGCACAACTGCAGAGATCTGAGAGTCAAACCCAGGTACTCTTGCTATTGCCCAAACATAAGTTTGTGATCTGTTCCCCTACACACCATCTATTCATCTTGAGCCTGGCAAAGCACCTCACACTTACACGGGGCTTATTCCCATTCAGCACTGAGTGGAAGAGACAAATTTAGGTGCTCTCAGTAATCACTAGTCACCCACTCTCCCAGGTGAAGCTGTCTCGCACAGCCCCATAAGCATGGCTGATCAGATAGCTGCACTGCAACTTTCCCAAGTCTGCAGGAAAGAGGCCAGAGCTAAGAACCCTGACTATAATTAACAACCCAAAGGATGCATCCCCAGTACCCTCATCTCCCCATAGAAAATGATCCTTGTCAAGGCTGTGGATCTTCACCCAAAATCCAATGGACTCAATGTCATTAACCCCACAAACCTTCCTGCCTCAGTTCTAAATCCCTAAGAGCCTTCTCTCGTCTCACTTACTGCTGCCCATTCCAGCTATCACTACCTAATGTTTCACCTTATACTCCAATCAGAAGAAACTCATAGTCCATGTTTGAAATTAGCCTCCAGGCAACTCAGGAGACCACAAGTTTGACTGGTCTAAGACATGACAGAATGTTGGAAAGATTCTGTAATCAGAGTTTTTATCAGGAGATTTGAGAACTAAAAATATTGAATTGGCAATATTGCTGACAGTGAAGGTAGACACAATCTAGTCCTTGCCTCCTTCATTTCCCACCAAGACTCAGTCTTACCCCTCTTTCTCCTCAGGTTTTTCTTAGCTCCATAAGCCACAAGTAGCCTTCTAATTAATTAATTATGGGAATGCAAATAGATTTCTCTCGCTCATAAAGAGCCTGATGAATATCTCATCATCAGAATCCACTCAGCTTCCAATTCCACCTCAAAGCCCCTCTAAGGTCTCTTCATTTGTACACCACTTACCATCTTTCACCTAATTCAGCACATATGTGTCCAGAAAGTATCTAGCCATTCTCTGTGAAAAATAGAAACATTTATTGTAGAAGATACAAAATACAAGAAACATTGTACATAGGACAATGATGACACCTCAGTCCCCTTCAAAGAAGGCACCTTGGAACCTCACACAGTTCTCCCAACATCTCTTCTGCTGTTCAAAACACTGCAAAATCCTTTGTTGGAATGTCCAACAGCTGCCCCAATGTATTTTCCTGAATCTCAAAAATGGTCTGAAATCTATTCCCCTCAAAGGTGATTTCAGTTTTGGGAAAAAGCCTGAAGTTGCAGGGCACCAAATCTGGGCTGTAGGAGAGCTGATTCACCTGGGTGCTTTGATGTCTTGCCAAAAAACTCTGCATAAGACATGATGCATGAGCAGGTGCATTGTTGTGATGAAGCTGCCCATCACCAGTTGCCCATAACTGAGGCTGTTTTGTCATATTACATCTCTCAACCAATGAAGAACATTGAGGTAGTACTCCCTATTAATTGTTTGACCTGGAGGGGCATACTTGTGATGGACAACACCTTCCCAATAAAAAAACACAGTTAACATGGTCTTGATCTTGCTGCAACTTTGCCACAGATACTTCAGGCATGGAGAACCAGGTGACTTCCAATGGGATGACTGAGCCTTCATTTCCAGGTCATAGCCATAGCCAAGGGTGTCAAACTCATTTTTACCGGGGGCTGCCTCACAGTTGCCTTCAAAGAGTCAAATGTAACCTCAACTCCTTAACAGTTAAGGAGTAGTTACATTTATACAGTCCCAAAATTATTTCAGCCCTTTGAAGGCAACCGCGAGGCTAATGTGGCCTCCAGTGAAAATGAGTTTGACACCCCTACCGTAGACCCATGATGCATCTCTAGTTATGACCTTCTTGAGGACATCTGGTTCATTGGTAGCAGTTTCAATCAAGTTATTAGCAACTGCAGCACGATGTTGCTTCTGCTCTGGTAGCAGAATCCTCGGAATGAATTTTGTCAACAACACATTTCATGCCAAGCTCCTGCATCAAAATCTCAGACACAGTAGTTTTTGGAACCCTCAGATCAGCTTCTAGTCCTCTCACTGTCAGTCGCCGATCTTTGTTGTTTGCAGCCCATACACATTCAACATTCTCAGGTGTTCTGCTTGTTGCAGGCCTTCCAGAATGTGGATAGCTTTTAACAGATTCTCGACCACCTTTGAAGCTTTTATTTGTGCCACACTTTTATTTGTGCTGCACTCACTGCATCTTCCCTGAAAGCTTTCTGAATCATCTAAATAGTTTCTGTGGAGGAATGTTCACGGTTAATGCAAAATCTGATGCAGGTTCATTGCTCTACTCAGCCATTTTGAATGTGATGGTCACACAGCACACATTTTCACTCAATGGCATCTACCATCCCCACTGACTAGTACACTGAAGTCATCATTGTTCACGCATGCACAGTCCAGTCCACTCTCCTTGGCTACCAGGCTACATCAATGTCATGCAAACTGTTATTATATTAACAATGGCTGGGCTTTTTCCGGACAGACCTCATACACCAGAGGTGGCAATTTAGGTGCCAGTACTCAGCGCATGTGGTACATAGGAGTGGGCTGTGAGCACAGAAAAAGAGGAGATACTGTCACTACTTTTTTTTTCCAAAAATTATTTTTGGAAGTATATACTATATCAGTGTCTGTTACTGGGTTACATGCCATATCTTATTATCATGTGTAGCTTGTAATATGATACAAGACATTATATTAGACCAACATACAAAAATAATTCTGCTCTTTATGGGCAAGTGGACATATTTCTGTGATGAGTAACAGATGCTTAATTTCCATAGAATGTTCCCTGGTGTCAGATGCTCAATATGTACTTGTACTGTTCTGTGATCATATGAAATTGGAAGTTCCTAATACATTTGTGTGATGACTGTGGCCTAGAAATTAACAAAAGAAATCGATACAAATATATTTGTTACATAGATAAGTACATTATATTATATTGGTGTTTCAATAGTTAATTACATTAGCAACCAAGTTTTGCCTTTAGTGTTTAATATATACTGTGATGATAGTAGTTATACTATAGAACACTTATATAATTTAATCTGATCTAAAAAAGCCTCAGCCTTTAAAATAAATGTGTGTATGTTATGTAGCAGAACACCTCTGGTGAAAATGATTTAAATTTTCCAAAAATGAATTAATGAAAGAATAAAAATTTCTTTAGATTTAGACAGTATATAGTATTGCTCTATTTTACTTCATATATTCAAATAGGAATTCTAAGAAATGATATCAAACTTTATTCTGGGTGATGCTTAAAAAGCTGTTGTCTTACAAATTAGAAATGTTTTCTAGAAATAAGACAGGTCAGTGAAATTGTTACTTTGTTTTGAGCTGTCTAAACCCAGAAACACAAGACCCAAAGTCAATGCCTATAAACAGCTAAATCCCTAAGATCTATTGAGAATATCTCATTCTAGCTGGTGTACTATTTACAATCCAGACTCATCAAAAAGGTGAGCCATGAATTCTAGTAATGGAAACTGATAGGCATCTGCTAGAAACCTTCTTACCCAGGACAGGAACAAGATGAATGGGAGGAACTAAAAATTCTCCCAAGTAATTGCTTCAAGTAAAATGCCATTGACCATGTCTTCAAAATTGATTTAAAGGCATTCAACAGATAAAAGCAAGAAAGTTAACATGCTCATATATAGATATATGTATGTATGTTATATATATATATATATATATATATGCATGTTTATATATCTATTGGATAGATAGATGATAGATAGGTAGGTAGATAGATAGATAGATAGAGCTTTTAGACAAGAGATCACTTGGAAGCCAGTAAATCTTTCCCCTGAGAGAGTGTAGGGTGGCAGTTAGGTGCACAGAGCTAAAGTGTGTGAGTTTGAATTTCAGTGCTATCTCCCATTGATTTTGTAATCATCTGTAATAAGATGGTTGTAATAGTAGTATTTACCTCATTCGTTTGTTGTAAGCACAGTGTCTAGCCCAAAGAAAGCCCTTGTCAGACTTTAATATTATGTTTAAAAGGCTAAAAGAGAGAAAATGAAATAAGGGATGCTAAGTAGCATGTAGGAAAACATGGGCTATAGATGCAGAAACCTCAACTCAAATCTCAAGTGATGCCACCAGTTGGGCAACCTTTAGCGTGTTACTGAACCTCTCAGAGACTCCATTTCTTAAAGTGGAAGTACTAATCCTGGACTTGTGAGATCAGCGATAGATGGAAAGCCCCTGTATCAGAATCAGGTTACCTTTCCCTGAAACCTTAGAGCTAGTTATTAAAGACTGCAAAAAATTCTTTATTCATTTGTTTTTTATAGCTAATAACATTTATGCTGTGTATTTTCTTTAGGGTGAAAATGGTTTACATGGAGCTCCAGGCTTACCTGGTCAAAAGGTAAAAGAGATTTTGAGTGTTTCATATAAGTTAAGAATTTTAACATCTTAGAAATTGAATTCATATATACTATAGTAAAATTCAGAGAATGTATTTGATGAAACTGAATTCCCTGACTCAGAAATCCACTAACCAGTCTTTCCAAAGACAACCCACTAACGGATCTTTCCAAGGAGAACCCATGGAAACAACCCCTTCTCAAAGAAGCCAGCCACACTAGGAGAGACTTTGTCATAGAGTATAAGCAGCACACTTCTCTGGATACCCCGACAGTGATGCTTTCCAGGGGCCATGGGAATGTGTACAGCTGCTCTAGAAATGTTTTCACTGTTGTTTGACATTGTCTAAAGTGAAGCATGGAACCGTTTTTACAGCCTTTGACTGTGTTTCATTATTTCTCATTTATCTTCCTTTTTGTATATCCCAGGTTGAGCTGAACATAATAGTTATAATGACCAAATATTAAATGCTATGAAGATTCAGTCTCTTCAAAACTATCTCTTGTTCAGAATGATAAGTTCATAATAAGTTAGGATTTTTACATTGCTGAGCCTCCTTTTTACTGTGCCTTATATCTTACTCTTAACCAAGGTAAACTTCACTTTTATCCCTCTACTGTCTATAAGGGCTGCTTTGTGCTCCTGAGAAGGAGTATATTGTGTGTGATCCGCATTCCTGGAAACACAGAGGCTGGTCTATTCCAGTTTCTTGGAGGGATGGAGAGCCACTTCAAGTGGGGCCAGCTGTCATACCACCCCAATAATCCTGGCACAGGGGAGAGCATTATTGATGCAATAGCAGATGCCTATCAAAGCCAAACATAGCTTTTCTGTGCTCTGGAGAAGTTTTACAGGCCTTAGCAACAGAAGATACTATTGCATCTAGGTTTTTCTCTATGCCTAAAAAATTACTGTTAAAAAGATATACACTTATAGTTTTTCAAAAATCTTCCACTATTTGGCTTGATAAAAAATGATAAGATTGAGCTGGCAGCAACAAAATTGCAAGCTTCTGAATTTCTTCACAGCAGTTCTAGACAAAACCCATTGATGCAGCATGTGCTGCCTCTGCAAGTCAAGTTACAAGCCAAGGGACATACAGATTTATCTGCTGGGAAATAGTTTTGGACTTTCCAGCAGCTGTTTGCGGTGGCTGCATCATGCTGTCATTGTGGCTGATGTACTGGGGTGTTTAGCAGTTTCGATATCAGCTTGAATTAACAAAACAAGTTAAAGTCTATATTTTAGGGAAAATGGTAGAAAAAAGATAGGCCATGCATTCAGTGGCAAATATACCCAAACACTACCCCATTTTCTTTCCCGATACATTTTTTGAGGGTAGATGAAGCAGAAATAATTATCTAATCTTGTATGTGTACGTAAACACAAATATATACATTTGATTATTTGAAAAGACACTATATATATATATGTGTTAAAAAGCTGACATCCTTTTTAACATGAATTTTAATTATATTAAGTGTTATTTTATTGAAGCATTACCTAAAAAATACTAGAGATAAGAAACCCTTCATCCTTTCTTTTGGTGCACTCAGGAAATGTTTGCTGGGTGCTTCTTCAGTATTTAGGAATATTTAAATTTTGCGGAACTCAGTATTGGTTTAGAATTTACATATTAGAAATGGTCCCTATAATTGTTGATTTTTTCAATGTTAGAAATTTTATAATAGTTATTATAATAATTATGTGTTAAAAGCAGTGTTCCTATTATTGTACACATTATATTTCTCTTCTATAGGGAGAGCAAGGTGTCAAAGGCAGCAAAGGAGAAATTGGTGAAAAGGTAAATGTTTCTCTTTACATGCATATTTGTAAAAATAAGTTGTGTTCTTGAAAATATTTTCAAGCAGAATATCTAACTTGTTTGTGTGTTCATATAAGCAATTGAATAATTTTATAGAGTTGATTTAAAGTATTTGTTTCAATTAAGATAGACTTGATATATTGATGTTTGCCAGAAATATTTTGAAACAAGTTTGGATAGTCATTATATCTAGATATTTCTATTTAAATACATTCTATATAAATAATTCAAACATTTATTAAACATTATATTTTTGTGTTATAACAAAACACAAAAACATAAAATTGTGCTATAACAAAACACAAAATTTTGTGTTATTAATGCACCAAGTGTCCAATTCTTTAAATAAATGCTTTAAGTATATATCTGACTTATTAGTGGAATTTTCCCTCAGGAAATAAATGAGAAAAAGCTAGCTATAATGTAGTCCCACAGAAAAGAGATGGAGTACTCAAAATAGTTTGAAAGATTTTAATGTAAGGATGGTTTAAATGGTGTGGGCAAGGTATGGGAAAAAACCCACTAGGATTGTGCAGTGTCTTAGATTGAGTTGCAATAGACTCCTTAAACTCCACATGGTCACTGGTTACCAGTCTCAGAGTCAAAGAAAACCATGTGGAGAGGGCCAGATAAAAGCTGAATAAAACAGTTAACCCAATAATCAAGCAATCTTCTTTAAATTCAAGTATGCAGCTTTCTCCTGAAAGTACACAAATTAGGAAGTGCCTTAGTTATCTAAAATTTCCCTTCAGAAAAACATTTGAATCCCTCTGCATTTCATAAGCCTACTTTTATTTTTAAATAGAACAAAAACAGAACCATTTCTTTGTTTCATAAAATGTCATGTAATTGGACTGCCAGAGAAGGGCTAGAAAAGGGAATAGATAATCTCAAATATTAAATTGCTTAAATTTCGTTTTCTTGGTGATCAATTATTTGCCTCTTTAATAAGTGTTTATAGACAGAATGAACATCCACTATAACTATAAGACAAATTGCACATGGTGTTAAGTTACTGGATAATTTTCCTCACAGAACTGTGAGGGAGAGAAAAAGATAGCCATATAATGATCATGAAATTGAGCATAATTAAGTGATGACTGTTCTTAAAAGTGAGCCTGTCTTCTAAAGAATCCTTTGAGTATTTTTGCTTTAGAATAAGTCATTTCAAGGCCATGCTTTCAACTAAATGCTTTATTTACACATATTTCTATTTTATTTCATGGGATTTTACCTGTAGGAATAGGTGAGAATAAGCAAGGAAAAGAGATATATTATCTGTAATTTAAAGTCATCATCTCACTAAAATCTTAGTGGTTATTTGGATATTTTTTTACATAGAACTTAGTAATAAACTGGTTCTCACCGTCTCTGAGGTATAGGAAAACATTCAATATATGTGACTTCAAAGATTTTCCTTCTAACTTTTTTGTATCAATGAACTATTGTCTTCAAATAGTCAATTTCACCATAAGGTGAAAATATAGAGAATGATTGAGATATCAGGAAGAAATAAAGCATCAAATAGAAAAGATAATACCTTGAATTAGAATTAAAACTGAAATGGTTTATAGTGAGATGAGTGGAAGATTCACACAATAACCCTTATTGTAAAAGAATATATTGTTTTGTTTATTATTTACTATAGATCATATATACATATATTTCAGTGTTGCATGTTATCTATTCTGATTTTAACAACATGTATTTTTCATAAGATAAATAATTGGGTTTTTTTTGTTTCTAGATTAGTTAAATAAGTATGTAAAGCACTCACTTTTGTGTGACATCAGCATGAGTGCTGCTTACAACATAATTTCTTTTCTGAACAAAGACAATCTAATCTGAATTTTTATTTTTGTAGAAAACTGAGTATGTAATTACTATAAGGCCTACCTTTCTTCTTTAATTACCTTATGTGGCCTTTACTGTTTTTAAAATTTGACTGTTTTGCAGATTCATAGGCACAGAAATCAGACTGATGCCAGAGGGAAAGGGTGTGGGGACTGGGTGAAAGAGGTGAGGGGATTGAGAAGTACCAGTGAGAAGTTATGAAATAGTCATGGGGATGTAAAGTACAGCATAGGGAACATAGTCAATAATATTGTAGTAACTGTGTACAATGCCAGGTGGGTACTTGAAGTAGTGGGTGTATCATTTTGTAAAGTATATGAATGTCTACCCCCTATGCTGTACACCTGAAACTAATACAAAATAATATTGATTGTAAACTGTAATTGAAACAAAAATTGACGGTTTTGAATGACAAAATTCACTAGTTGCAAAATAAAATAATTCAGGAAGTTTTTCCGAGATGTCACATCTACCAAAGGCTTGTGGCTACTGATCCACAAAGAATTATATTAACTGTCAAAGATAAAATACCATGTGATGATTTCAGGTGTTGTTTCTGTAATCTAGTATAAGCCAAATAGAGAAATCTGCTGCTTTTCATTATGGCTAGAAAACTAGCCTTCAAGCCAATTTAACACTGAAGTCAGAGTAAGTGGTGCTTCAGTGTGTTGAACATGCTGCCCTTCATCCAGAGGAGAATGCGTTGAACTTGAACGAGTATAGAGGACCTCAGTTGAAAGTATATTCCTTGGTCAGTTGTAACTTATAACAGGAGAGAAGCTTATATAGTACCCAAGCAAATACATTTCAGCCAAGTCAGGTCTCAAGTAAAAAATATTTAAAGGGGTGGCTCATTCTCTCAATTTAGATGTATAGGAATGATCCCACTCCACTGCCTCATTGCTGGCTAGAAAGGTCAGGTGAGCACCACTCATGCAGCCTTCATGAGGCAGGGGGAATGAGGTCTATATTCTGGCTTCTCTGCTTCTGTAGGAGTGACTTTAAACATCCCTTCATGGAGGGATTTTCCTTGGGTTACTTCAGTGTCATTATAGGTGTTGTGTGGGCAGCTACTACCAGTGAACAAAATGGAGCCTATTCTTGAGGTGACAGGTGTGTCCATGAGATCAGCCTTGCTAGCTGTGATGTAGTCAAAGCCTTGTTATAGGGCCAAAATGTACATGCCTGAGCTAAGTTCCGAACATCCCACTGGAAAAGGGCCACTTAGCCAGGCTTCATGGAAATGGTCATCGTTCTTGAACCCTGAGTCTACACACTCCAGGTATTTACGAAAATAGGACTGTTACTTAGTTACATTTATGAAAAGAAGCAGATAAAAAGCAGAAGTAAATATCTACTTTGTCTGCATTCAATATTTTTAAGTAATTACTTCAAATCATGTAATTTAGTTTGCTTTTAAAACTGTCATTCTTTTATGTTGTCATTCAAGCCCTGACTAACTTAAAATTTAAACACTAATTTCTTCACTGTTTAATGCAATCCCACTGAATTTTATTGTTAAATATTATTTGATCATGAGAAAGAAACCAGTGAAGACTGCTCCGCATGCCACGCTTTCCCTGACACGGACGTTGACAAGGCACATGTAGCAGTAGCAAACCCTCACAACAGGATAACAGGACATGGATTCAGTGCCGCTCTTCTTCAATAATCACTTGAGCAGAAACCAAAATGAATGATTAAGATGTAAAATAGGTAAGAGCATTTTCCAGTAAGCATTTTCATTCCTCCAATCACATCTTCAAAAACAACCATCAAAGGCAGAAAGTTACACACCACACATAAAGTCAACAGTAAGTTACTTTATGTTTTAAATATTAAAAATGTATCAGCACATGTGACACAACCAATATTAAAAGTTGAGACTATTTTTATATGCTACCACAAATAAATAATTTTGCCTGCCAGTAAACAACTATCATAAGACTACAGTCAATCCAACTATTATTACTAATTATTTATTACTAGCAACAATGATTTTGGCTTCAAATAAAGTAAGACCTTTTTCACCGGAAAATATTTTTACTTATTCATATAGGTCAATTTTTCATTCAGTTGACTGAATGAACATAGAACTTGAACTGAGGATCTGAAAGGATAACTGATATTTTGGCCATTTAAAATTTGTTAGGGAATTAGACAAAGCCCAAGTGAGTAATTCTATATAATATGTGTAAAGCATTCTTCAGAATATTCTGGGAGCAGCATCTAGGTCATTCTGCAAGGCGTGCACATTTCTAGTTCATAAAACACCACTCAAAAAAAAGCTGAGACTTGACATTTCAGGTGTGGCTTTGATTGTGACCTGTCATAGAGTAATTGGGTTCATATGTTCCTGTATCCCACGTTCCAGTCCGCCTCTGTCAGACAGCTGTGTGCGTCTGGACACTTTTCTTGCTTTCTCTATCTTAGCCTCTTGTTCCATAAAATAAACATAATTCCTATCTCATGGGATCACTGTAAGAGTTAGATAATACCTCATAAATAAAAGTGCTTATAAGTGTTAATATCCCCAATGGCCAAAATATGAAAAAGTAAATATTGATATTATAAGGAACATAGATTTTATATAATTGTCTAATTTTTTTATTTGCCTAATTTTACTTCCTAATTTTCTTTCTAAATAAGTAAACAAAATACAAGAGGACCTATTAATTAGCTACTGGTAACAAGTAACCCAAAAATATAGTGGCTATAAACAACATTCATTTACCTAGCTGAAATTCTGTAGATTAGTAATTCAGACTGGACTTAATTCAGTGATTCTGTAGTCTTAGCTGATCTTACTCAGTTTGCTTATATATCTCTTCTCACCTGGCAGGTTAGCTGAGAGTGGCTGGTCTAGGTTGGTTTCTGATAGATAACATGTCTATTCTTCCTCCAACAGTTAGTCTAGTCTTGTTCTCAAGATAAAGAAAAGCAGAAACATGTAAGACAAGCAGAAACATGTAAGACAAGCAGAAGTGTGTAAGGCCTCTTGAACAATCCCCACCCCAACTCTGAACTAGCATCCTCTCATCTCTGCCACATCCAGTTGGCCAGAACAAGTCCCAAGCCCAGCCCAGATCTAAGGGGTAGGAAAATAGATGCCACCTCTTGATGAT